TTTTATTTACTTTAATAAAATAATGTCTTTATCTTTAGCAGTACAATATTTTTCTTATTTTTTAAATTCTATCTACGATTTTAGTGTATTAATAGGACAAGGAGAAATTGTAAAAATTAGTGATTTTGGAACTAGTAGAGAATGGAATGAAATTAGTACAAGAATGAGTTTTGCTGGTACAGTTGCGTGGATGGCTCCAGAAATCATCAGAAATGAACCTTGTTCTGAGAAAGTAGATATATGGTCATACGGTGTGGTACTGTGGGAACTTTTAAGTGGAGAAATACCTTATAAAGATGTGGATTCTTCCGCAATAATTTGGGGTGTGGGCAATAATTCTCTTCATTTACCAATTCCTGCAAGCTGCCCAGAGGGTTATAGATTACTTGTAAAACAATGTTGGGCTGCAAAACCACGTAATAGACCGTCATTTAAACATATTGAAATTCATCTTGGAATTGCAGCAGCTGAAGTGTTATGTACAAAGCCTGATGATTATTTTAAGACGCAGGTAAATTGAAAAGCTTCAAAAATAAAGATGAAAAAATCTATTCAAGCATCAAAAGATTTTAATAATTTTTATAATTATAGCAATCTTGGAAAAAAGAAATCAGAGATCACATGAAACAAATGCAGACAAATAGTTGTAGTAGTCCAAGATTTGAAGCTGATCTCATTCGACGACGTGAGGATGAATTAAGACATGCTCAAGATATTCGAGAACATTATGAACGTAAACTTGAACGCACTAATAATTTGTACTTAGAATTAAGCGCTGTTTTATTGCAATTAGAACAGCGTGAACGAGACGTAATTAAGTAAGTAGTAAATTAAAGAGTTGGAATGATTAATGATAAATAATTTTAATATATATATATATATTTTTTATGTTAGACGAGAACAACAAAGTGGATATAAACAGTGTAAGAAACGACTTGTACATCCTCTTTTAAAGGCTCAAGAAAGACTTCATCGTAGACGTAATCCTCAGTTTTCAACATCATCTACTCCAACAACTCCACCATCCCCGATAGACTGTCCACAAACTCCTATAAAAGCAATTATGTATACCCAATTAAATGAATCTAATCAACCAGAGACAGTTTTAGCATCTAATAATAGTTTTAAGCAACGCAAGTATAGGCATCGTAGAGTAGGGTCTGGATGTGGTGTAAATTCTAGCCCACGATCGAGTCCACATCGTGAAAGAAAAGTATGTATATATATTATTATTTAATAAAATTAAAATATAATATTATAAATACGTATTTATCTATTTGTTTTCAGAGTACAGAAGTATGTGCGCGTTTTGTTGACAATCAAACGCAAACAGACATAATGGATATTAACGAAACTGATTTTAGTCCTATTGGACATACAATAACAATTTCATCAATTTCAACAGAAAAACTTTCTATAAATAGCCTGAATAAACAAACATCAGAATGTTTAAATGGAAATTCAGTTTTATCTGAAGCTCATTACAGAATGCAATCTAGTCCTTGTTCCAGTCCTGAACCTTCAAATGAAAATCATGCAAATGGAAATGAACGTTTAAAAGACTGTAGTGATGATGATAACCTTGAAACACTTGGTCGAAAAGTTAGTGAAATTATTAATGCTAATCGTCTTATTTCTCCTATAGATAATGGAAATTGTGATGATGTAATACAACACAGGTAAAACATATTTAATATATATTCATATGTATAAATATATGAAACTTAGTAATAATTAAAAATAATAAATAATTGCTTATTTCAGAGGTAAAGAAGAATCTGTAAAATTGTCTGGACATTTTTGTGGAATTAGTGTTAATAATACATCTCAAGAACAATCAGATATTAAAACTCGGCCTTGTTCTGAAAATATGGATACTTTATGCGATCGTGAAGATGATGCATGTGAAGAAAGTTGGTCAGATGAAGAAGGCGAAGATCCAAGTTACACGTATAATTATTCTCTAAGAAGAAGAAGGTATTTTTGTTTTAAAAGATATAAAAGCATTTAATTCATAACCATATTAATGTAATGAATTATGATTTTAAAGCATTGCAAGGAGACCTATTGGTCCTGGATGTAGATTAAGAAGATTTAAACATGCAACGGTACGAATAGAAGGAGTATTAGCTTCTGATGAGGAAAATACTTCCGAATATTCACATCCTCCGTCCAGTCAATCCTCTACGTTAGAAAGTAATCCCGATATGCAAAGAGTATTTCGTAACATTCACTATTCTCATAAGGTAAATTAAGATAGTTATTAATATAAATATTACCGTATTAGGTACAGTATAATATACATTTTTATTTTTATTTAGAGGAAAGAAATAGATGATGTCTCTGATACATCGAGTCAATCAGAAACAGATGAAGTCAGTGAGATTACAATTGCATCTCAACCAGTAGGTGCAAATTTAAAAGTAGAGAGTAGCGTGTAGATTAACAGGATTTTTATATTTCATTTACGAGTGATATAATATATAAGTACCTTAACAGCCAGTGCATTTTTGTCGCGTATGCTCTCATCCTGTGTTAAATATTGTAGATATTTGTCAATTTAAGATATATGTCAGATATATATGTACATTAATTTTACGCATTATTTATCAATGAAACATTACATTAATATTATCAAAATATTGGACAGTTATTGAAATGGGTTTGTGAAATCACATTCTAAATCTTAATTATAATTTAAATTACTATTTTTGAAATTTATTATAATATGTTTTCTATCAGTACCTATGGTATAATTTATTGTACGCTATAGAAAATGGACATTTAAATCAATAATTATTTTTTCTAGGAAAGATATAAAATGTAGATCGATGATACCTTCGGCAAAAATGAAAATTTATGGAAACATGTGTAGTAACATGTTACTATATAGTATTATTTGTAAATACATGCACCTCATGCTTTCATATGAAGAAAATCATCTTAAAATATTCATTCCATTATCTTTTACTTTCTTCTTTTATAGTTCCTTTTAGTTAATGTAGAACTTTGAACTAATTAGTTACGAATTTAATACCAACCATATATTGCATTTATTTCATATTAGTAAAAAATATTCAATTAAAATCGAATCAGTCATTCGTACAATGAATGCAGAATCAATTTGAGATTGCATTCACTTATATGTATAAACAAAATCTACAATAGTGTAGAGACCAATTAGTAAAACAATAAATTCATATAGTATTTGATAGTTTACAATTGAGGTATTGTATGTAAATACAATAAAGTCAAAAATAAATGTTGCATTAGAAAAATATATTTCTGAAAGTGATTTAGAAAATATGTAATGGAATGACAATTATTAAATAAATTTTATAACATAAGTGCCTGTGACAATTTTCATAAGGTACACCAAATTGTGGTTATTGAAATAAAATAACAAAATTTAATTGTCATGTGCAATATAAAGCAATTAAACTTATAATTGAAAATAGAATCACATCAGTACAATAATTTTTCAACTCAATAAATATTTTGCTATTCTGATAAAGTTAAATTATAAATATGAGGTATTGCTTTAGAAATATTTTACTGTAACAAAGTCATTAAATATTTTTGATGCATTAAAATTTTTACCAATAATCTTACTACAGAATGCAGAATATTGTATGTAACAAATTTTACTGTTTCATTTCTCAATTAATAAATGAAAACAATCTAATTTAATGACTATGTTAAAAAAGTACTAGTATAAGAAGTATTATATTGTCAAAACAGTGCAGATTATCTGAATTTCACACTGAAACTCAAGTATTTGACTGTATGTAAAAGTCATACTCATTCTTTCAAATAACAATATATATCGTAATTACACGTGCAAAACTAGATAATGTCGTTAACTCGATTGTCCAAAGTAGTGTTCTGCATCCATCTATTGTACCTGCTTTGAAACTCGAATTGCCTTAATGACAATTACTATACTATTGTAAATATAGACAATACAACATAAACTTAAGAAAATAATAATTAAAATATGATATAACATTTTGATGTGCTCATTTGGACGAAGTAATTAATAAGATATACAAAGATGTACTTTATGATAATCATACATATTGTATCTATTATATTTATGCGAGTAGTTGCATAAATTGTTCCTTGTGCAGTTGGCAGCTAAACAGACTAGTTCTATTATTCTTTAATAATAGAAGCAATACACAAAATTTGTGTTATAAACAAATAAAGTTGATTTACAATAATTAGTATATTTAAATTAATTACAAACCTTAGTAACATTGTAAAGTTATTCAGTTAATTTGACTTTGTTAAAATAAAATAAAACGTTTTTCACAAGATATAAAGTATTAATCATTTGTAATATATATTATCATTTAGGAACCAGTTATATAACTTGAAACTTTTACTTAAGTAAATGTTAAGTTATTATTTATATGTAAATATACATTAACTTATTAAGATACAATAAATATTTGCACAGCCTATTTTTAACAACGAAATATATACATATCATGGTAAAAAGACCTTACTATCAAGAAAAAATTGCTATAAATACATACAAACAATTTGATATTTTAATTATTATATATGTTAAACATAATTTAAAATAAATTACATTTTGCTTAATACTAGTCGATACCCATTTAGCATAAAACAATTAATAATTACTTTTTTATTCTATCATTGAACATGTAAAAGTTTTCAAGTAAATACTTAGACATTGCAATTTCTATATTTCGTCACTCTACTTAATTACAAATTTTAATACATATGTACATTTTAATAAAAAATGTAATGAGAACTAAATTTAGTTGCATTTCTTAGTATTCAAGCTATTTTAAAAAGTATAACAAATATTTTAACATAATATTAAATGCCATAAAAAATGAGTAATTTGAAATTCAATGTCAAAATAAAAATTTTAAAATATTAAATTATCATTGATTGATAATAACTGATAATATAATATAAATATAGTAAAATATGCAAACATGTTTGCAAATAATTATAATTTCATAATTCTATTTCTATTGTTCATTGATAATAGATTAAAAAATAGTATTTAATATATTGGAATTTACAAATTTACCAATAAAATGAATTATGTAGAAATTCAGCAGTGGATTTGTATAATGATGAAGCACTTTGTCTTAATCCAGTCAATAGTGATACAACTCCCTCCTTTTCATCTTCTTGCTCATCTTCTTCAGGTAAGTAATCTGGCATGTCTTCAGTATCACCATTATTTCCTGTATGAATCTTTGTTATAATAATAACACATTATTAATAAGAATTCACAATTAATGTTAAAATTTATGAAATACAAATGTTTACCAATTTAACAAGATACTCTTGATTAAATTTATTTCTTGTTACTAATCTTGCTTCCATATTCTCAGAATTTTTTTGTATTGCTTCTGCAATTTGTTTTGCAGTAACATAACTTAAAGTACGCATTGTAACACGCTGATGTTCTACATCGACTACAAGAGAAACTAATCCATTAATTCTTATTAATATTGCCTCTAACTCTGCTCGAGTTTCCTATAACACAGATAATGTATAAAATATTAAATATATAAAATTAAAGACACATACATATATTTACCGGCAATAAACCTTGAACATGTAATACAATCACATGGGTCTTCAACTTTTTAGGTTCTATGACTCTCCTACACCTGCTACGTAAATTATATATTGGTGGTTTCATTCTTTCTATATCATCTTTTATACATTGTGCTCGTTTAGATATCTTTGGTTCATCTACATTATATTTATTTATAATTGCGTCTAGCGCTTCACGAACTCCGAAAGTAGAGGTTATATGTACATAATTATCCACATTTTTAACAAATAATTCCAAAATATCTAAACTCAAATTAACAATCTCAATATCGGGTACTTCTAAAACGTATGCTACATACGACAAAACTGTTTTATCCTAGAATTAGTAAATTTTCATTAAAATAAAATGTAAATAAATTCAAAAAATCTCTTACCTTCAAAATTGTATCATGATTTGCAAAATCATTTGCCAATTTTTTATACGTTTCGAGAGTAAGTTTTAATTCTTTCGGATCTAAGGATTCGTCCACGTCCATTATCTAAAAATGCAATGTTAATATTAGCTTGTTCTTATTAATAAAAATCTTCAATATCATTACTTATAATTATCTGTTTGAGTTAACACTGATAAGTATTAAAAAATAAGTAGATTTTTAAAAAATATTTTTATCTTTTAAACAATTAACAAATGCAACATAGGCTTCGTAGTAATAGAGCACATTTACCTCACTGATATGATAAATTTCAGAGAACAGATTTTAAATCAGTTATTAGATTAAATTTTATAAGTTTACAATTAAATTACATTTATTATTAAACGAAATAATTTCTTTTCCAATTCATTTGCAATTTTTTGACAGATTTAGCTAACATATAGATGATTTAAATGTAATCTTCATGCATAACAAACAATGTATACTTTGCATAATAGCAAGAAAGATAGTTTTATTATTGCAAAGGAATAAAATAAAAGTGCATACATTTAATGTATGCGTAAATTCTGTATATAATTACGAGTAAACATAAGTTGGGTATACATAATCATGTATGTGCATAAATACTTATAATACATATGTATGTGTATATATATATATATACATATATACATATATACATATATATATGTATACATATATATATATGTATATATACATATATACATATATACATATATATATATATATTTCGAATAGATGTATCAGTTTTACCCTACGTAGTAATAACAGTAACAGTCATGTTACAACCAGCTGTTTCCAGATTATTTCGATGACGCGCATATTGTAGGACAGTAGCGAAGCTAGTGTTTGTATGACGTACTAAAATAAGATGGCTGACATTCACTCTACTAGCTACCAACAGTATAACACCCGTATTACCTTTCTAATGAACTTCTTTCTTACTTTACGCAATTAAATATTTTAAACATTCATTAGTGTCAACTTAAGTACTGGTAGAAAGAAATTGATATAATACTATATCGGATACATATTGAGGATAATAGGGAAGTTAACTTAAACAGCACGTAAAGTAACAAAGTTATTTGACGTATTTTCAGATATACATGTATAAGTAATTATTCGTAAAGAGTGCTAGTGTAAAGTGCATATTGATTGTTAAAACAATGGAATACGTACTAATAAAAGACATACGACCGGGTCAAAAAAACATTAATGTGGTGTTTATTGTTCTGGAAGTTGGTCATCCTACTATCACCAAAGAAAACCGCGAAGTTCGAACGTTTAAAGTGGCAGACAGCACAGCATGTATGAATGTTTCAATTTGGGACGAACCTGGACAACTTCTAGTACCAGGGGATATTGTAAGATTAACAAAAGGTTATGCATCTGTTTGGAGACAATGTTTAACATTATATTCTGGAAAAAATGGAGACATACAAAAAATAGGAGAATTTTGTATGGTAATAAATGAACAGTTAAATATGAGTGAACCAAATCCTGCTTTAGCACAACAAATGATTAATCAAAGTGGATCTGGTCCACCTGGTAGTAATGTTAACAATACCATTACAAATAATGGAAATGCAAATAATATTGCTGGTCAACCTGGAAGGCAACCATTGGTATATTGTTCAATATAGTTATACCTTTTAAGTAAATGTTAATAATAATCGATTTATTTTTAATTTCGCAAATTAAAAATAGCTCAAATGTAGCTGTTTTTAATTTTTTTATTAATATCATTATTATTTCACTTTATCATAGGCAATTCAAAGTAATTCAGCAACACCTACAAGTGGTACTTCTGGTAGTTCTACAACAACAAAGAGTGGGAACAATAATAATAATAGCACTGGTGGAAATAGTGGTAATACTTCAGGACTTCCAGGGGGATCTGCTAGATATTCTGGAGATTCAACAACAAAAACAACTGTTACAACAAAAACTAGTTCTCGTGGTCGTGGGGGATATAGAAATGGTGGACGTAGCGACCGTAGATAACATATAAATAAAAAGCGGTTAATTATATATGTATAATAAAAATATGCAATTGATTATATTTAGGTCAACTGTAACATACTGTTTTTCTAATTATCCTGTATATGTGTATTCATCAATTAATGTATATGACATATTCTTATTAGAATATAACATCATGAATTGAAGACAATCCAAGTAGAATGAAAGAAAAGTACCATCATTAATTGACTAATGTTAATGTTTCATTGAATTATTTTTAATTTATATATTTAAAATCACTATTTTCTTATTTTAAATTTGGAATGTGTCTTCAAATCATAGTAGAAATATCAAATTTCTGATAAATGAATGTATAAAGTAATCTGTATTTAACTGATAAACAATTTTATTTGCTAATTTTTTAAAATATTTTATAAAATAAAAAATATATATGTATATTTCATTTATACTGAGTATAAATGAACAATTTTTAAAGAGATTATACAAAACAGTTTTTAATATATATAAAATATTTGAATTTTTTATTTAACATTATTACTCAGTGTAAATATACTTTAAAATAAACACTTATGGTTATTGACTTTATATTTTTATTAAAATATACAAATATACAAAAGTATTAAATGGAAAAATACGTACAGTATTTATTACTATTTATAACTATCAATATTATTCAATATTTATATTTTGTCTATAATTAAATTTAATTTTTACAAAATTAAAATTGATGTTTTTTAAACAATAAATATATTGTTTTTTAAACAATAATATATCAAATAATTAAATTCCAATTATTAAAAGATAAAATTATATTAAATACTTATGTTTGTACTTTAAAGTTAATGTTTTTAAAAGATTTAACTATGAAAATTTAAATAATTCTATAAATAATTTTATCATTACAGGAAATTTGCAACTGATAAGAAAATTTCCTTGATAATATTTATTAGATCGAGGTGTATATTTCTATTGTAATTTTTAGGTTATGTTTATATTGACTTCACATTTATATCGTATGTCACATAATACAAGTAAGTGATAACGATATATATTTTAATTTTATTTTCCTTTTAGTAATCTCGTTTATAATTTTGAGTATGTTATAAATTTACAGAATGAATATGAATTCTGTCGTCATTATTGTACAATTATTTCTATTATTAAACATATAATTTAATAACAGATGTTTAACATTAAACATATAACAATTTACAAGTATTTTTTATGTATTTAATTAAGAACTATAAAACGGTACGTTTATTAATATATTTGTACAATATTCCATTATAATTACTACATTGCATAATGTTATCATATATTATAAATTTTAATTAACAATGTTGTTGATTTTAGCTAAAAAAAATATAAGCAGTGCATTAGAAAAATATTTTGTAAATACTATTTAATGATTTATTGTTTTTTATGTTTATCTATGTCATGTAGTAAATGAATGTATATTTTAGTAATATAATAAATGAATTTATTTTTACATTTTATTTAAAAACAATAGATTCATTTAACAATACATACATTCATTTGATATTATATTTAATATCATAAATTTATACTTACAGATTATTTTCCTCTGAAGTATGACAAGATCATATATAAAATATCAAATTGCAAAAGATGCAGATGATACATCGGATTATTTTCTTCAACCTATTCAAGAATTTTCAAATGTATCAAAAAAAGAAATACCTTTTTGGAAAAAAACTTTTCAAATTATTATATTAATTCTTTGCTATTTTGTCTTATCAGTAGGTTTAACATTTTATGTACAATGGCTTTATAACACATATGTAAGTGAAAATATCTGTAATTTATAAAAATTTGTTATTTGATTTTATTTTGAATATGCATTAATTTTGTAGGGATTTCATTTTCCATTTATTGTGGTAATATGTCATTTATTAGTAAAATTTTTATTATCTGCTTTAATAAGATGTGTTAGAACATGTTGGAAGAAACAACAATTTAAACTTCCTTTCCAAAGCATAATAAGAATGGTTATGCCAGTTGGTATAGCTAGTGGCCTTGATGTTGGTCTATCAAATTGGGCAATTTCATTAATTACTATGTCATTGTACGTACATGTTATTTTACATTATATAAAAAAAAATGTATCTACTATATAATAATGTTAATAATTTATATTGTTATTTAGATATACTATGACAAAATCAACTACCATAATTTTTATTCTTGGATTTGCACTTTTTTTGAAATTAGAAAAAAAGGTATTTATGTTAATTTCTTATATGAATACTTAAAATACGACATATTGAAAAATATAATTTTGTTACAGTCTTGGACATTAACATGTATTGTGATAATGATATCAGGAGGTTTATTTATGTTCACCTATAAATCAACACAATTTGGAATTTTTGGATTCATAATTTGTCTTTTAGCATCATTTTCAAGTGGTATTCGGTGGACTATGACACAATTAATTATGCAAAAATCTAAACTTGGAATGAAAAGTCCAATTGACATGATGTATTATATGCAATTATGGATGTTATTACCCATTGTACCAGTGATGATATGGTTTGAAGGTATATATAAAGTACTAACTTTAATCTATAAATGCAATTATTTTCATCGTTATTCAAAAAATGTTTCATACAATTTATATTTCGAGGGGATAATAATTTATTGTACTTAATTTGTTTCTAAATAGACTTGTAAAGGACATATGAAAATCAACACTGTTTTTTTTTTAAATGGAACATAATTTTAAAATAATAATTGGCTTTCATATTTACTTTACGCAGAAACAAACTAACTACATTAAATAGAGCAGAATAAACAAACAGAGAACAAATTAGTATTTGAAATATTTTTTGAATAATGAACTGTTATAAAGGTAATTGTATTTATAAGTTAAGATCCTGTATACAGCTTTTTTTTTTAATTTTGTGAATTTTTTAATTGTGTGAGAAAATAACAATCTTATTTTTAGGACCTCATCTATACAATAGTTTTAAAAGTACAGATTGGGATGATGTTCAAACTATTGCAATTACTACAACTGCTATATTTGGAAGTAGTATTATAGCTTTCCATATGGAAGTTATGGAATTTTTAGTTGTTACCTATACTTCTAGTCTTACACTTTCAATTATTGGCATAATTAAGGTAAATAATATTGTATAATTTCATTTAATACTGAAATATACATGTAAAATATTAATATTTTTTAATTAATATTTTACAACTTTTTAATTATTATTTTTTTAGGAAATATGTATCTTAATATTGGCTGTTGAATGGGAAGGTGATCAAATGAGTGATCTTAATTTTATAGGATTGTTAATGTGCCTTTGTGGAATCACAATACATACTATACAAAAAGCATTATCAAATAGAAATAAAAAAGCTGAAAATTTGGAATTACAAGTAAACTCTCTTTCAAGTAATAATTTAAAAACTGAAGAAGGAATTGACACAAATTTGCCTTTGTTAACTGAAAAATCGACATCGCTAACAAATCTTTTAAACGCGGAATTTAGTTCTGACGAAGATGATGTAATTAAACATGGTGAGAATTCTACTCAAATATTGTCTAATATATTGCAACGTAGAGAACAGTAAAGTTTAAAATAATACAATATTTATTTATTATTCTTAAAAGTCATTCCACATCTAATTATATTATTCACTGCAATTTATACATATTTTTATATGTCAATTTAATTATTAAATCTATATTTCTTTTATTTTCCAATGAAAATGTTAATAATTGTTATGGATGTTTTATTTTTAAAGATATAATTTGTGTTTGCAAAATTGTTTTTGAATCTATTTTTTCACATTATTTCACAAAACAAATAAATTTGTACTTTAACACTTAACAATTTTAAGTGTAAATAATACATACATAGAAAACAAGTACATATTATATATATAACAAATAACTTTAAAAGGAAATTTATTTTACAATTATTTAATTACAATCTGTTATTAGTTCCTTACATAAAAGTAACATAATTATATCTTTTCATTTAGTAATAGTTTTTTCAATTAATTTTATTTATATACATTTATGTTTAAATCAGAAACACACAGCATAATAGTAGATGATGATGTGAACATTGAAAAATTGTATATATTTTATAAATTGTTATTAATTTCAGAAAAAAACTGAATGTAATTTACTATTTTTCAGTCAAAATTTGCGTAAATAGCCATAATTATTATCTAATATTATTTTTTTATGATATATATAAATATATATGGACAAAAACATTAATAATTTATTAGTCATAAATCATTTTTTATATATTATTTAGCACATTAACATATATAATAAATTTAAAAAATAATGCTACGAGTTTATTATGTGATGTTTACTTGATAATAATGATATAATTTGTCAAAGAAATTTATTTAATATATATGTTCTCACATTGAGAATATTATAATTTTTACTTCATTATAGTGTTCATAATAAATTTTGCATATATAAGTACGCTATTATGTTATTATTCACTTAATTCTTAAATGCATTTTATAGATTTTAGCTATTGTAAGACATATTTAACCTTCATCCATCCCTCATTTTTTTCAACTTAATTTGTCTCTTGATGTCAAAATGACATAGTGATAAAAGATTAATACAATGAAAAGATGAATAGTTAAATTCAAAAATTCTTTTATTAATAGTAAATAGACTAAATTTTTATTCGTATAACTTATTCTTAGGTGTAGATATTTTATATTGCGATCTTTTTATATGAAAAGTATGTCAAATTGTCATACAAGAGATGGATAAGGGTTAATAAGATTATATTTCTGTAAACTATTGAAATATAATTATGGTATATTCATGTATCTTATATTTATAATTATAATATATGAGAATAAAATTCAAGGAAATATATATTTAAATATCGTACTTCTAATTTGAAGTACGATTTACATATGATAATGATATTAAAAGTAATACCTCTTATTTTGAAAATTAAGAATTTTATTTGAGGTTCACATAAAATTATTAAATTTTTAAATAAGTTTATTTGTTTTAAAATTACGAAAAAAAATTTTTTTATACATTACTATATAAGAACAATAAATATGATAAATATATATAAATATATAACATATGTAAAATAAAATTTTATAATTATTATTAGATAGAGTAATAAATAATTATTACTTACGTAATTTAATAAATAACTTTGTAATTTTGTTACTTTGTTTGTTTGATTTGATTAAACTTTTTAGATTTAGCTTCAATTCTTTCTTCTAGTTTATGAATCAAGTCATTTAATTCTTCCTATTTGGAAAATAAAAATTTAGTTTTAATAAAATCATAATTTGCAAAAACCATTTAAATTTATAATATTAAAAAAGAACATATTTACCTCGTTATATGTATACATTAGAGTATAATGTTTTAAAATTTGTTTTTTTCTGTTAAATAATTGCAATGCATGTGATAAACAATAAACACTATCATCTTGTGAATTACTAACTAATGAGACAAACAAATTAGCTCTACAAATTTCGCATTCAAAGTCGCCATCATCTTCTTTTACTTTTTTTCCTTTCCTTCGTTTTCCACTATCTGGTAAAGGTAATCTTTCTGTATTTATAAGACCTATTGATTCTAATTGTTTACGATAACTTATTTCTTTCTCACGGATTTTAATTACACTTGGAAGAATCTGTAAATATTATTTGTAGATCATTTATTATATTACATATTTTATATAATAATTATTTACCTGTTTTAATACTTCTATATGAGATCTAGAGTCATTAATGATATTAAATAATAATCTTTCAAATGAAAAAATTGATGGTTCACAGCTATCTTGTATGTCCTACAATAATTATTTAAAATTATACAGTTGTATTATAAAATATATAAAATAAAAAATAGAAAAATATTATTTACTTACTTTAAATACTTGTTCCGCAGTTTCTAACCAGGATGGTTGTGCAAAGTAAACACTTTCAGATACTACATAACCAGTGCATATGCTCGATGTAAATGCTTTAGGAAATACAATTATAAACTGTCCTGGTTCTTGAACAGTTTGGCATAGTGATACTCCATTACCAACTAATAATTCTGGCGGAACCATTGCTGTATCTGAAGGTAGCCATATAGTTTTATTTTTACAATATCGTGGAACCATTTTTGAAAGAGCCTCTCTGAAGTTATTGTTGTGCTCATCTGGTATGCCATACCAAATTTTTTTAGCACCAGTATGTAAATATTCTATCCAAGGAAGACCATGAGGATCACGGTACCAACAACATGCACTAAATAACATACCCACATGAAGTGTTGGTACTGTTACACCTATAAATAGAATTAAAATGATTGTAAATAAAGCAGTATCAATTTATAACTATTTATGTTCTAGTTATAAAAATTTAAGAAAATATTTTTATACCCATTATGGGACCTAAAGCTCTTAGTACTGAGCCAGCATTATTAGTAAGTACTTTAAGATTCCATGGATGTCTTGCGAATGGACTATTTTTAGCAACTGAAAATCCAAAACCACGTCCACTTGAATCAATGCTTGCAGCGTGTACACAAACATGTCGTTTCCTTTCAGCAACATGTTTCCAAAATGCACTTTCAACCTCATCAGCAGAAGCACCTTCAGTTTCGTTTGCAGATCGCTGATTTTCACCAAACCACATACGTTGTGTGTTACGCGCAATGCGATAAAAGGCATTTAATGGCATGTTTCTACCCTGTAAAATTATATTTCAAAAAATTAAATATTTTATATTTTATATTAAATATAGTTATAATTATGATTTTGGAATTTTTACTTTCACAATGCATTCCTCGATTTCATCAGAGCTATCATCATCTTCTTCGTCTTCATTTTCACTTATTGACGCATTTTGCCTCAGCAAGATTTTATTTTCTCTTTTTATCCACTCAGATTCGACTTCATCAAATAATTTTCCTCGTTCTCCTGCGTTATTTTAAAATGCGTTATTAATAAATAACTTTAAAAAATTATAGGTTTTTAATACTATCATATTTTTTACATTTATCTATAAATACCTGGAGATAATGTATCATATGGTAACAAATATTTGCAGTAAATATCATCTAATTTGGTTACACGGTCTTGAGCAGATTTTGGTATTTTCATTCCATCAGCTACTTTTTGCCATTTTTTCTTTTCAATAACTTCTTTTAATCCCCCTAAACTTTGAACTGTTTGATATAAATGGGGTAGATCAACTTCCATACCACCAATCTATAAAATAATTGGAATAATAAGTACGTTAAAAAAAAAAGGAAACAAATCATAAATGTAAAATTGTACCCAAGGTGGATGAGTTAATGTTATGCTTTGTGTAGCTAAATATTTTTTTATAGCCATCATTTCCTTTACATTAGGGCCCCATCTATGTAACATACGATGTACATATTGATTGTAAGCAGTAAACCGCATATCATCTGATACTTTGCATTCAGGCTAAAAGAAAAAAAAATGTACTTATATTTTATAAATATATGTATTTAATAACGCAATAGTTTTTAATGAATCTTACTTTAAAATTAGGTGGTGGTACAACTCTACATATGCCAAATTTTTCTGCAATTGGCCTTATTTTGTCTATGTATTCTAAAGGATCTTGAAAATCTTTCTCAGTAGGATGAAATGTTGGAGCCTCAACTAGTCGTGCTTCAATATTTTCACTTTTTGCACTTGGAAACGTTACATTATTAGTAGGAGAATAAATTTCAGAACTTTTTTGTTTTGTTTTGATCTGACATCTAAAATTTCAGAATGTGTTAATAAACATAACATAAATAACATAAACACAACGTAAATATAACAATGTGTTTAGTAAAAACTGCAAGAAAATAAAATTACAATTTTTTTTGTATTAGAGTTGTATTACCTTTTCCCATTCTTACTTGAGTCAATTGAGGTTTTTCTTTCTCTAGAATTTTTTGGAGACTTTTGTAGTTTTTCAATTCCTATATTTAATGCAGTTCCTATATTTTGTTTATTTGCAGTTTGCGCTATATTTTCATTTTTAGTTGGAGTAGATGGTTGAGGTTCAGAATTAGATGTGGTAACAATTGATGCTGTATTTGAAGAAGTAGATGGTACTGAATGATCAGTTGTTATAAGTGTAGAATTAGGTGGTGTACGAGTTGTAGGTTGTACTGTGCCTACAGGAGGACAACGTGCAATTGTTGATGGCGGTTTTGTAACCAATTTTGCTCTTAAAAGAACTTTTTGATTAGGACCATTTGGTCCTTCAGTACCAAGCTTTACAGCTACACCTTGAATTAATTGCTGTCCCTGAACTAAATTCGGTCCATTCCTTGTGACAGCTTGTAAAGGTATATAAAATAGTTGACCATCATTCTCATCATCATTTTCATTGCTGTTTTCAGTTTGAGTAGATATTTCTGTACTCTTTTGTTGATTTACATCTCCTTCTTCAATTTGTTTTTGCGTTTGTGCATTATCATCAAGATTTACTTGTACAGCTATTGAAGTACTACAATTTACATTACTCCATGTTGTTGTTAATTTATCTAATGGTAGAACTTGTATATTAGCCAAAGTAGCAAAATTTTTTGGTAATTCAAATTTGTTCACATTTAATGTTGAATTTGATATGCTTTTTATTTCTATTACTTCACTCTCATTCTTTGAAGAACTGTTAGGAATTTCTTTTGATGTTGTTATTTCACAATTATCTTTGATTGTTCTTTCTATATTTTTATTTGCTTCATTCACAGACATATTTATGTTATTTTTGGATTTATTTGTATTATTCTCAGATTTATTTGCATTATTTTTAATTTTATCTGCATCAGTTTCGGATAAATTACGAAGTACGTTTGGTTTATTTGAGTCTCGAGCTTTACGCCTAAAAGGGGTATTAACAGGAATTTCAGTATCACTTTCGAATGCATAAACACTGCTTTCATTTTCTGGAGAAAAAGCATTTGCATTAGGAGTTACTGTTTTACGTTCCTTAACTTTTGGTAAAAATGGTTTTCTTGGTTGAAATATAGTTTTCTTTTCTATTGGTATCTTTTTCTCACTAGAAGTATCTATCGAATTTTGATCTGATTTCAATGTACTATCACCTTCTTCTCCAGGACATGAATCTTTATTTAAGTTTATACTTCGTCCTTTATTAATATCTTTTAAATTTGTGCTCTGTTTATTAATAAAGGTATTAATATTAGTATTAGAAAACTCATTTTGTTGTTTCATATCAGGCTGTAATTCTCCTGCTATAACAGGTACATATTTATTATATGTACTCACACGATCTTTTACACTAGCCTTTTCTGCTAATTTAGAAAGTGTGACATTGACTGGTCTTACCAAATGCTGAATTTTTGTTGAAATTGATAAATGTGACACATCAGTCTTTTTTTCACATATGTCATATTTAAAAGTAGATACATTTTCCATTTCTAACTTGCTTTCTTCTTTAGCAAGTGAACTTTCAGTTAACCATTTTTCAATTTGTTCAGTTGACATATTTACTTTTTCCTTTCTTACATGCAATGTTGATAAAGACATATCTATAACATTCGTGGAAGAAATTTCAGTTTTATGATGACATTCGTTTTTAATGTCTTTTGCCGATATTTCTTTTTCTATTTCATCAGATAACTCTGATTTATCCTTTTCAGATTTTTGAAGATGTTGATTCTCTAATATATTTGGAACAGATGAAGAATTTATACTTAGTAAAGGTTTATTACTTGATAATTCCTTATCTACATGTTTAGTTACATCTGTACTTTGTCCATCTTCCATTTTAGCTGTTTCTAACTTATCATTGGTCTTTTTCGCAGTCAAAAGATTAACGTTAACATGTGTTTGGCAAGAATTTAATACTTTGGATATTGCTTTTTTTGTAAATCCCCGAAAAGATTCCTCATCATCTGATATTTTTGAAAGATCGGTTTTTACAACATCTTCATTTACAGATTGTTTAATTTTATCTTCAACATCATGATTACTATTTTTATTAATAATCTCTTTTTGTTCATTATCATCTTTCTTCTTTTTTAATTTATTGAGCAACATTCCTAATGTTTCTTCATCAGAATCTGTATTTTCAGCAATAGTATTCTTTATTTCTTTTTGCTTTAATCTATTATCTTTTTCAAGTAATGACTTAGAACTCTGTTCTCGTTTACGTTTCATTACAAATTTTTCTTTATTAAATTTTATATTATGTTGAACCTGAGATTTTGATTTCATATTTATATTATTTTGAATCTCCATTCTTGTAGTTATATTTTTAGTAGAAGATCTAAGATATCGATTTACAGGTTTATTTAATTTTCCTAAGCTTCTTCTTGTAACAGGTCTTATGTTACTAGTTTCATTAGAACTTACAGACTCTTCATCAGTATCAATTTCACAATACTTGTGAACTCTTATTAATCTTTTACTTTTAAAATCAATTTTATTAGTCTTTGTTTTATCTAATCGTTTATTGGATGTACTATGAATAGAAGTAATTTTACCATCTTTGTTTTTAGTAGTTGCTTTTGTAACAGGTTGTTTTACTTTAATTTTAACTTCATTTTCTGCTTGAGTAGTTTTACGTGTATTTGGTAATTCTGGAAAACTGTCTATAGAAATATTATCATTTTCTAAATCTGGGCTTACAAGTTTCCTTCCAAGAATTTCCATGTATACTGCAGCTGCTTCTTTAGTTTTTCTTGTTGGTCTTCTACAAAGATTTTTTGGAGAAATTGTGCCACTATGAGACCGTGTGATTCTTCTCATTTCAGATTTACTTCTTGTACATATGTTTTTCTGAACAGTCTTTTGAATTGTACGTTTCATCTGTGGTGTTGATTTTTCTGAAGGACCTTCTTCTTCTTCTTCTTCTTCAGATGTAGATTCTGAATTTGATGTATCACTGTTCTTTTGTTTTACTATAACTTTCTTCTTAGGTTTAGATGCTACAGGTTTAACTTTTGAAGAAGCTTTCTTTGTTTTGTCTGCAAGCACACTGCTTCGTAAACCAAGTCTCTTAGTTTCAATTCTTGGCAAAAATTTTCTGGGTGCTAATTTGTTTACAGATTTTAATAATGTTTGTTCTGTACAAGATCTTGTTCTCATAACACATGATGTTTTAAATTTATTTTTGATTCTTTGTTTAGCAAGACGTTGTTCTTGGTATTTCTTTTTAAGAGCTTGTACTGTAGATGTAGTACTTTTAAATGTTGTAATATTTTTCTGAATTGTATTTGGGACTTTCTTCTTATCAGTAATAACAGGTTTCACTTTGGTTACAATAGTTTTTTGAATTGAATCTGATTTTTGATCTTCAGTAGGTATATTAATTGATACAATTTTATCTGTTACTGTATGTGTTGGCTTATTATCAAGTTTTTCTTTTTTACTTCCAACATTGAAAAAATTTAAGCTTGGAGGTAAAATTGATGTTCCTGTAGAAAAATTTGAATTAATATATAAAATAAATAAAATTAATAAAATAGAAAAAATTTAAGAACCTCTAAAGCACAAAAATGTCAGGAAATCTTCTGTATTTGGTCGTTTGTGAGTTATTAATTCTGTTATAACTGCTGGTTTAGTTTTTTCTTTATCCTTAATAGGAGTATGTGAAGGATTGAAAACTGTTGTTGCACCTTGTGCAAATTTTCTTTGTGCATGCACTTTTGTCCTACAATAAACAAATATATATGTAAATATATATGTAAAAGATAAATAAAAAGAACGAAAATGAATATATAAATAAAAGTCTTTTTAAGTCATTTAAAGTGTACATTACCTTAAATTTATATATCTTACAATTCATTTAATTATATGAAAAATATATATTAACTAATCTACAGTAAATTTAATAAATATTAGTTATATTAGTTATATTAAACTGTTTCATTATTTACCTTTTTGGAGATTCTGAGAGTGGCTCCATAAGATCTACCAAATCTCCTTCTTTTCTTTTTCTTTTATCATTTCGACTTAACACCATTTTTTAATTTTAATTGAAACGTACAAAAAATCGAATATGTTTCTTAATATTTGTATAATTAAACTATTAAGCTATTAATATTATGTTGATTAATATTCTCATTTTTTAAAAACTTAAAAGAATAAGTTAAAATGTACTGGAAAATATTTCATACCACATGAAATATGATTGTCATCACAAATAACAAATATTTAATATAAAAAAATTTAATGAGAAAAAAATATCAAATTCAAAAACTTATATTTTTCTGTAATCTTTCAATATTTTGAAGTATTTTGTATTTAAAACAAGTAGCGATTTGATAAGGTATAGAAACACTTAACATCTGTTCTTTACATTGCATGAATGATTGTTTATTATGTCAAATAAGACTGAATACCATGTTCTGAACTATGATTTGAATATACATAGATACGCACTATAAAATGATATTGATTTCTTAAGACTTATCCACACTGCATATATTGCATTGTGTTGCACATAGTATGATCTGCTTTATATTAAGCACTCAGCCAATGAAAAAAATATATAAAAAATTATTTAAAGATATATAAAAAGAAATTATTAGTTCTTTTTTATTTATACATTTAAATTGTTTATTGATTATTGATTAATTAATTTTGATAAAAAAAAGATTAAAAGGTAATATTTGAATTTGAAAATTTTAAATAATCGATTTCAGTTTCATGGAATGTTCATGAAACTCTTATCCTGCCATCTGTACATATACGTAGGAATATTTGTTACTTTTTTCATGTTTATACTTCAAACCTATTAAAATTATACACATGGATCATATATTTAGAAATTACTCATACATTGTTTAAATAATTAGTAAGTAATTTATAATTGTTTTATTAAGGTAGGAGAAACTTTCGTGTATCATATATTCATACAAATATTAGTAAAGGATTATCATGACGTTAATTCAAATAAGTTGGAATTCTAGTTGTGACATATTTCGTAATTAGTTTATTGATATTAAAAATACTATTATTATTATTATTATTGTTTATAATGAATAATTTCAATTTCTAATATAACGTAGTATTTAGATTATATGTTTAATAATTCTATAAGGTAAATTGTTTTATTATTATCAATTTTATTATATGATGATATTTTCATAATTATTTATTTAACATTTTCAATTATTTCTATAATGGGTATTGTACAAAATTATTCTTTTATTTTGTTTATATTTTGTTACAATATAATGCAAATGTTGAATTATTTTCATCTCAATATAATTAAAAATATGGATTAATACTACTGTTACTTCTTTATACATTGTTATATAATTGTGTTTAATTATAGATAATACTACTTATAAATAATACATCATGTACAAAAGTGGACCACCACCACCTTATGAATCACCTCCATATGCACCACCTGGTTATTCACAAACAGTAGGTGGTGTACCACCTGCTAGTCCTTTTACATCTGCAGAAACTTGTATGTCTTATTCTCATCTTTTATTATAATAAAGTTTATAACTTTACTAATTAATTAAAAAATTAATGAAATTAATGAAATTTACAAAATATAGTGTTCTTTTATAGATGCAAACGGACCAACTATAGTAACAACAATTGTTCCACTTGGACCAGGATCAACACACACAATTTGTCCACATTGTCATGCAGAAATAGATACTACAACTAAAACAGAACCTGGCATGATTGCCTATATATCTGGAGTTGTAATTGCGCTAATGGGGTACTTATAAAAATACTTTTCAATTAGCAAATTAATATCTTCTGAATATTTTTTATGACCTTATTTCTTGTATCATGTTTAACAGATGTTGGTTGGGATGCTGTTTGATTCCATGCTGTATTGATGAATGTATGGATGTTCATCATAGTTGCCCTAACTGTAAAGCTTATCTGGGACGTTATAGGAGATAAAGTAACACAATAATAGTATCTATTGCATTTCACTTTGAAACCATTTGAAAGTTGCATTATATATATATATATATGTATATGTATATATACATATATATATATATGAATAATTTTTAATTTTTATATTTGAAATATAAAATTTTTAATCTTTATGTTTAACAAATATTTGCAATGTTCAAAATTAGCTTTAAATATTTTTCACATGAAAATTTGATGTATACAATGCACAATGTAAGATTGCACATAATATTAAATGAAACAGTTCCTAAAAATCAACTTATTTATTGTGCTTTTAAACATTTTGATTACAAAATTAAAAAAACTATAAAACAATTAAGCCGAAGTACAAAATAAGTGCAAAATTTATTAACAATTTCGTTTATAATAGAAATTATACAATATAAATTTTCATATACAACATATACACAAAATTACTTCTATCTGAAATGATATTAAAGATTTTGCTGGATATATAAATATTATACACAATACTTCTTTATCTAACATTAGTTGTTACTGCAAGTATTGTTAAAAATCTATTTTTCTAAATTGTTACAACTGACAAACTTACACAATTTATATCTGTTTTTATGAAGTTTCATATATATATATATATATATATATATATATATATATACACACACACTACATTGTTATTCATATATATATATATATATATATATATATATATATATATATATATAAAATGTATATATGAATAAATATATATATGAATATATATATATGAATAATAATGTAGTATTGAAAATAACTATTTTGGAAATGATGTGCACTGCTGTTTTTTTTATAACACAAAAATTTGTATAGCTTTAAATAAAAATAAATACTTTGTAATATGTATAACAGAAAAATTACATTTTCAAAATAAAATATCAATTAATTATGGTATTATGAAATAAAGTTAATGTTCTGTAAATTATATTCTTTTCTCATTTTTATTGTACCCTTATGGAATAGTACAAATGAACATGAAATGTTTACAAATTAAGTTTAAGATAATTACATATTTAAGATAACAATTTTTATTTATTTTTTAATTCTGAAAATTAGTTTCTCCATAAATACACAGTAGGCTTGGTTCAGATGAAAAATAAATTTTAAATGTTTTATGTTTTTAATATAATATATATATGGTTTTAATGTTATACTAAATAACATTGATACTATAATTGACAATATAAAGTATTTAAATTGTATCCTGCATGAATAAAATTATAATACTAAACAAAATGAATTTATTTCAATAAATAATCTTTATTATTTTTGGTATACAAATTTTCAGTATACAATAATTAAAATTGTAATCTAGATAAATTTGAAATTTATTTAATATGATAATAGTTAATCATTTTCATATTAAATGTATTAATGTAAAATTAATGCATTTTGTCTATATATATAATATATACAAACTTATAAGAACATGTGATATTTATTAAAGATCGAGTTTATTTTGAACTTCTTTGAATTAGACATTAATACAATTAACAACTGGAAACAAAAAGTGAGGTTATAGTACAAGTGAACAATTTGTCTTTTGCGGTCTATAACCTTAAGAGAAATGCGGTCATCTATAAACATATACATTTAGATCGTTTCTATATGAAAATTTATAAAATACATTAAATTTTTATCTATATATATTATAACAATGTGGCATCATTGTAAATTGGTTTGTAATAAATTTGCAACAAAATGGAATAACATCGTTTTTTATTATTACAATAAAAGAATAAGACATTGTAGTTCAAAATCTACTGTAGAACCAAATGAAGATGTTGATGATCCACTTCCTAAGGAAGCAAAAGTTGTTATATGTGGAGGTGGTGTTATGGGTGGTGCAGTTGCTTACCATCTTTCACTTCTGGGATTAGGATCTCAAACTGTTATTGTAGAAAATGGCAGGTATGAAAAAATATTTCATAAAAACGTATTTTCAATAAAATATATTTACTCTGTTTAAATTTAGATTAGGTGGTGGAACAACCTGGCACACATCAGGATTAGTAGGAGCTTTTAAACCAAGTTTAGCACAAGTTAAGCTTGCTCAAGATAGCATATCATTATATAAAGAATTAGAAGAAAAAGGCTTATCAACAGGATGGAAACAATGTGGCAGTCTTTCTTTGGCACGCACAAGAGATCGTATGACAGTATTCAGAAGAATGAAAGCACAATCTATGTGAGTCAATTATTATTAACTTTAATAATGTATATTAATTAAATATATACCATGATACTTTTAGATCTCGCAACATTGAATGTCATTTGATTACACCAAAACAAATACAAGAAATATGTCCATTATTACGAATAGATGACTTAGTTGGTGGATTATGGATCCCAGGAGATGGGGTGGGAGATCCATATCAAATTTGTTTAACATTAATAGAAGAAGCAAAAAAGAAAGGTACTTGTGATTTTTGTAGAAAGTAAAACTAAGAAAATATATTTAATTTCATGTTGTGATTAGTTTGCAAAATAACTTTTAATAATTGTAGGTGTTAAAGTATTTGAAAATTGTAAAGTTACTAAAATTATTACACAAAATGATACAATTGAAGCTGTAGAAACAACACATGGTACTATTGAATGTGAACATTTTGTCAATTGTGCTGGATTTTGGGCACGTAATGTAGGAAAATTAAGTGAACCATATGTAAAGGTTATTAAATATTTTCTTTTATTTATTTTTATTGACAAATAAAGAATATAATTTTTATAAATAATTTTAATTATATATATTTTACTTTTAGGTACCTCTTCATCCAGTAGAACATTATTATTTGCATACAAAATTAATTGATGGTTTAGATCCTATGACCCCAGTTATAAGAGATTTAGATGGATATATTTATTTTCGAGAAAATAATGGAAGTTTTTTGGCCGGTGGTTTTGAACCAGTAGCAAAACCAGCATTTGAAGATGGGACAATACCTGGTTAGTTATAAATTTTTATTTATCACTGATCTTATATAGATTTAAATGTGCAATCAATTTTAATTTAGAAGGTACAGAACAAAGATTTTTACCAGAAGATTGGGACCATTTTCATATTTTGCTTGAACAAATGCTTTATAGAATCCCAAGTTTAGGAAATGCAGTTTTAGAGAAATTATGTAATGGTCCTGAAGCATTTTCTCCAGATTGTAAATGGATAGTTGGTGAAGCACCAGAAATACGTAATTATTATATTGCTGCTGGTATGAAAACGGTAAGTTAACTTAGCTTGTGAGAAATAATGCTTGTAAAATGAAAGATATATATAAAAGTATAATTTCCATAGGTGGGCATATCAGCGGCTGGTGGAGTTGGTCGAGCAACTGCAGAATTAATTGTTAACGGCTCGACATCTTTAGATATGTACGAATTAGACGTATCACGTTTTTTGGGACTTCATAACAACCGTAAATTCTTACGCGATCGAGTAAAAGAAGTTCCTGGTACGCATTATGCTTTACAATATCCACATCATGAATTTAAGACTGGTAGGAATTTAAGAATGTCTCCAATTTATCCAAAACTTCGAGAAGCTGGAGCTATATTTGGTCAAGTAATGGGGTATGAGCGACCATCCTGGTTTCAGTTAGATGATGATAATGGTAAGTTTACTAAGTTATAAAGGGTAAGTTATAAAGACTGACATAAAAATCTAAAATTTTTATTAGTATATCCATATTGTAAAAAAAGAAACTGGATTTTATTATACAGATTACTTTGCTACACAGATTTAGAGACAATTGATGGATTTCAAAGATGTAAGATAGCATATACAAATACGTTTAGTAAACCACCGTGGTTTGAAGCGGTTTCAAATGAATATGCAGCATGTCGTGAAACAATTGGACTGAGTGATTATTCTTCTTTCACTAAAATTGATTTATGGGTATGTTGCATTATTATAAATAATGTAATGAATATATTATATCAAATAATTTATATATTGTTTCAGTCAAATGGAATGGAAGTAGTTGACTTTTTACAATATTTATGTTCCAATGATGTCGATGTACCAGTAGGAGGTATTATTCATACAGGTCTACAAAATCATCGTGGAGGCTATGAAAATGATTGTAGTTTAGCACGTATTGCTCCTAATCAGTAAGTTTAACATTTACAATTCTGATGAAATATAGTTATACATATAATGTATATTTCTTTTGATATTTAAGTTATATGATGATTGCACCTACTATACAACAAACTCGATGCAAGCATTGGATTAATCGTCATTTACCTATAGATGGTTCTGTAGCAGTATCTGATGTAACATCAGCATATACAGCAATTTGTATTATGGGTCCTGCTACCAGGCAATTATTATCAGAATTAACAGATACTGATTTAAATCCCAAAAACTTTCCATTTTTTACTTTTAAGGTAATTATTATTTATTAAGTAAATATTGTCGATTATTATGTACTCATTGCTTTAAAAGGAATTAGATGTTGGTCTTGCTAATGGTATACGCACAATGAATCTAACTCATACTGGAGAACTTGGCTATGTTTTATATATTCCAAATGAAGTAAGTATTTTAAATTTTATAAGAAATATCTTCCAAATTTAATTTAATTTTACATTACTACTGATACATGTATTATGAATTTGTAGTTTGCGTTGCACATTTATACAAGACTAATAGATGCTGGAGCTAAATATGGGATAAAACACGCTGGTTATTATGCAACTCGAGCTTTACGAGTTGAAAAATTTTATGCATTTTGGGGTCAAGATTTAGATACTTTTACTACTCCTTTGGAATGTGGACGAACTTGGAGAGTAAAATTAGATGTAGATATTTCTATAAATATTTCTAATTTACATAATTTATATATTAAAATTTAATTGAAACAATGTTTTAAAAATATATATTTAATAGAAAGGAGTGAATTTTATTGGAAGAGATGCGCTTCTAAAACAACGTGAAGAAGGTGTAAAACGAAAATATGTACAATTATTATTAAATGATCACGATCCTGAGTTAGACACATGGTGTTGGGGTAGTGAACCTATTTTTAGAAATGGAAAATATTGTGGAATGACAACTACT